AATAGTTATGACTTTGTTATTATTGATGTTATTTATAACGCTTGTTGTGTGGCGAGTTAGTTATTAGATTTGGTGACATATTTAAAGGCAGCCGAATTATTTTAAATTTAAAAAAATGTATTAGCAATGACAACATACCATCTCTACTATAAAGACAAACGCCAATCGGACTAACTATCTTACTCAATTAGACCTCTCCTCAATAAATTCCAAACCCGATTGATACAGCGATCGATTCAAAAATAAACAAACAAAACGCGGCACATACGAACACCTAAACACAATGAAACATTAAAATTCCCCACAACAAAATCACCGCGGCCCAGCGGTAACCGGCCCACTTTATATTCAACAGAATCGATTGCCGCTGTAAAAGACTCTTTGAGTATTGAACAGAATTAGAATTTAAAATATATTGATTCCCTCATGAAATGGTCGGAGCTCAGATGAAATATTAAATGACTTGGTTTTTTTCTTCCAATTGGCCGCGCGAGCAGCTGAGGCGGTAGTAAAAACGATACGTGACTGCTCTCGACATAGCAAACTGTTCTAGTGTTACCGTATTAAGAAGTTGGCTTGATTGTGTAACGTGGGACTTGGGTATTATGCTCCCTGGTTCATATGGTCTTAAGTTATTCAAGTATTCATTTTCATCTCATCATTTAAAAGTTTGTTGTTCGATAACTTTGTTCCTAATTCCTATTAAACATAACTAGTAAAGCTAAGTAAGCTTTCCTTTTTCGAGGGTTCTCTTTCGTGAAAGACCAGGTGATGCGGTATACTATTTTTAAAACAAACATAAAAAAGTTTGGGAACTTATGTATCTTAACTTACTTTCTTAGCCTACAATATAATATCATTTACCCTGCTGGTATCAGTTAATGAGAAGCAGATTGCGAAGGGCATAAAAAATTGACACTAACAGTTGTTAAACCTCAAGTCCAATTTACACTCAAATCAGTCAGCAAAAAGAATCAATCTTCATTACAACAAAACGTAATTCTTATTTTTTAGTTTTTTCTTGGACAAGAACAATAACTCTGGATATAGTGTACAATTTTCTCCGTGATCGGCACTCGGCACTCGATCACAATTGGTCACGCGTGCCTCGCGAGCTCTGTAGGTACTGCCTCTACTGTAGCATGAGAGAGGCATTCTATATTGATTGGGAAAAATGAGAGGTACCCTGGCTTATAGTGCAGGAAGGCTAAGGGTAAGGGAAACTTGGTATTTGTCTTTGATTATAATAGGGTAGATGCCTAATTTTTATTTTTATTTCCGTCTGGTATTTCGTCTAATATTTTTTCATTACCTTTTTTTTTTTTTTTGAGGGGCAAAATCATCCAATGACTTCTCCCGCCTGGGTAAGGCGGGAGGGAGTGTCAGACTCTTCCTGACTAAAAACCACCCCGTTCCTACACCTGCACTTCGAACCGGAGCCCCGGCAACCCGTTAAGTCTTCCGCGGCTCCGTATCGGCATCAGCCTTGTTAGGCCCCATCTGTGGTGGTCCGATGGCTCCTTGAGGCGCGCGCGGAACGCGACGCGCCGTACGCTCGGGCATTTTTTCATTACCTAACTTACGGCCTCATTATATTTTTAATTTTCTTACCCTGTCATCATCCCTAATGTCAGGGTATTCTTAGATTTTCATCAATTACAATAAAATATGTTAAATGTTGCCTGATTAAAAAGTTATAAGTTTTGTAATTTAATTTTCAACTTGTTCATTCTACTTAGAATACCAGTTTACTAAAACATGAATCATTTAGTGTTCACTAGATTCATTTGTATCACTATCTACAACTAAACTATAAACTTTTGAACAGACACAAAAACACTGCTAAAACATTTACTCCTCAACCCTTCTCTTAAAATGCTAAGCCGCTAAACATTTTAGGCAAACATTTCCTATTGTGAATAAAAAATAAAGCAAATACGAGATAAACTTGAGAAGCAACATAAGTTATTCAAAGCCACACAGGGCGTAGCGGCAAAGTGTCGGTTTGCAAGGCCTAAGTTCTAAAGTAGTTCCTAAGTTTCTCCTAGCACCGACAACCCTTCCTGACTAATAGCTGTATATGTACACAGATATAGTACCTACTACGTATGCCGTGTATACTACCAGTTCTACTTAGTCATCAGCTAGTAAGTCTTCCTCGTCGAACTGCTGATGAAACTAAATAGGCGGCTAGAAGCCACAGATATAATAGTTCCTAGTTAGCTTAACTTAGACTCGGGCTGTGTGAGAGATCAAATTAATGTTAGAAATAGTAAGTCTATCAATAAACCTAAAAAAAATTCCGTTCATTAGTCTTCTCGAGAACGGCAGAACCGATTTGGCTAATTTTGGTCTTGAAAGGTTTGTGGAAGTCCAGGGTAGGTTTAAAAAAAGTGAGTATTTTTTATTTACTTTTAAGCAGTACGAAGTTTGCCTGGTCACCTAGTAAATAAATATAATTCTATTAATATGAGAATTTTCTTTAAAAACATGTTTAATATACCGTTGCACATATTATTTAGAAATTAATTTATACGAGACATCTGAATAATTCAACTGCTGTGTAACTGGAATATAACAAATACGACAACATTACGTTCAGTTTAACATATTGTTAATATCTAGTTACTAATAAAATATCATTTAATTCAATTATAGCTGCATAGCTTGTACACTGCGCTGCAATAAACAGTTTATGTATAAGTTATACCTGTTTCAGTAAACTACTGGAGAATATTAGTGAGCGCGGAGGTCCGGCAGTAATTACTCGGCGTGTTAACGAGCGTTTGATTGCGACGTAATGTCACCGCATCCGACTAGGAGCGCACTTTGTTCCCGTCACAACCTCTACGTCTTCCAGAACTGTCGTTTGTTTTATTTTATAGTGTACTTCTCTTCTAGCTAGTTTATGAATAATTTTGTATTTATTTTGTGTTTTATGTCAACGTTTTTTATTTGAGCTGTTATGATGACTGTTATAGAGTGAAATGATAAGGTAAAAATCTAAAATATTCATTAATTTTTAGTACATTTTAAAGTAAAATATGATAAGATATAGTTCAATGTCAATATGTTTGCAATCACACAAAAATTTGGACCAGGTAGTTGAGGGTCTTTCCGTTCTCGCTCTTCAGACACACATTGACAAAGGATGAGCCGATACCACCAGCACACACCACGGCAAATAGTTGGAGAATGATTTTGGATTTTATTTTTTTCTGTTTAGGCTGTTACTGACAACTGTCATATAGGCTGTTTATGTCGAGAATTTGAGTTTTAAAGTTTAAAGGTTAAATTTTAAAATAGTCAAAATAAACTAATGATCAATAGTATAAAAAGCCAAAAGTCAAATTAACGTCCTAGAATTTATTTCCAGCAACAAATATTTTGAAACTAGCCTGAGTACGGTACAAACTCATCACAGTATAGGTAACGAACGCACGGCCCCGCGTATAAACAACATGAATATTTTAGGGACTGTATCAAAGTGCCCGATAAACGTCGGGATCCAATATCGGGTCCAAACAAAGGCTTACAAGAGTTTAGGGCACGCCCAGTGCACTGCATATTCAACGGGGCCAGAGTCAACATATTAGTGCGGGAGCCGGACAACGGACGCGCTGGACAACAAAATGTTTTGAATTTGGTTCTTTAATACGAGTTATTATTATTATAGTATAGACCGAGTTGTGGTTTATCACTATGAATCCTAGAGCTAATTGTAAAAAAGAATATAGGCAATCTAACACCATGCTCATTGCCCATTAGTAAATACAACCAACACAACAAACGGTAATCTGTCTAATCGTAGGTCTGAAGGTAAGCAATGCAAATTAATATTAAATCTTAGTTATTAATATTAATAACTAAAAATCGAGGGTTACTCATGTGAAAATACTGAGAAAAGCTCTACTAGTTTCGAACCACAGAGAGGCTGTTTCTCTATTGTAGACATCGCCACGACCACGCACGTTCGAAACTAAATAGCTTGTTTCCGTATTTTTACTTGAGTAACCCGTGATTTTTAGTTAATATACTACGTCCCACGATAGTTATGACAAATTTGATTCTCTGATATCAAATAACAACGTCTGTTATTTATCTAGGCACAGTTCGAAAACAAAAAACACAAAGCATGTTTCTTGTTTCAAGTTGTGGAGAGTAAGGGAAATTAATGATGTCGGTAAACAGTGAAGGCGTAACAGACTGATTCTAGTTTTGTGGTCACAACAGATGGCAGCACTGAAGTTTCTACGTGTAACTGTTCACTGTCATTTGTGTATTATAATTTATGTTAAATGTATTACTCGATAATTTGAATTGTTAATTTAGTAAGCAAGATTTCTTAGTCGCTTTATGGTCGTTTGATCAAAATTATGGGAGAATCATACGTGTATGTAACTTTAACATAAGGACTACAGTTTTAGGCACGAATGTGCAGGCAGACAATCACAATAGGTTTATGTCGGTTTTCTATCAAAATATACAATTTCGCAGCACCAGCTCCTGGTGTAAGTCCACGCATCGCTGCCCCGTGACCAATATGTGAGCGTAGTCCCATATACCTTGCATTTGCATACTTTACACGCACTCATTAAACACCGCCATACTGTTATTTATTGGAATTTTAATCAGTTCACTAATTAATAACGTTTCACCAACCAATATTCTGCATTACTGATCACAGATTGCGCTCTATAATATGTTGTTAAATCAAGATTTGAAAATTATAATTTTACCAACTCATTTATTATTTTCATAATAATTTCGGATCATTGCCATGATTTTATTATTTTACAATTTTATTCCTATCAATGCAAATAGTAAAGTAATAATTTACGCACTGATTACTGCAAACATGTAAGTAAAACAACAGGATGCCGATCAAACAGATTTTTTAAGACAAAAATCAAACATATTTTTTACATAATATCACACCTTTTTAATACATGTCAAAGTCAAATATGATAAGATAAAGTACAATGTCAATATGTTTGCAATCACACAAATATCTGGACCAGGTAGTTGAGGGCCTTTCCCTTCTCACTCTTCAGCCGCACATTGACAAAGGATGAGCCGATGCCACCAGCTGTGATTGTTGGTACAGCCTTCGACTTGTCAATGTCCACTGCTGATATGCTCTGCAACAGAAAGATGCATTGCATTCGTGAAGAAAATAATGGACGTGGCATCAATAAATGAGTAAAAATTAGGCAGTGTGCTAAATATACACCTGCTTTATCTATGTGAAAAATGACTGAAACGCATAAGGGTAAAAACCAAACTCAATGGCATGCCATTGTCAAGGTTTTTTGCTGAAATATTCAATGTTAAGTCGCGCTTAGGTATAGTTTTGTCACTGTAAATTCTTTATAAAATGACATAGATGGCACAATATTTAAACGTAACTTAATATTAACCCCTCGAGTGTCCTTATGAGCACCCGGTTGATCATAAGAAAAAATGCTTCATGCTGCTTTCTCTTTTATAAAATCTATTATTAATTTTTTTCTTATTTTAACTGTATTTTTTATTTCTATTGTAATGATCCTTGTTTTCGTGTGCCAATGTCCAATAAATGCATTTTCTTTCTTTCTTCAAATGTCACGTGTGCACCCGTTGGATCATAAGGAACGCGGATGCTTGACGGGTTAAGTCGCCTTTCAGTACGTACGTCCAGCAATGGTTGAAGGTGACAACTAGTTAAATAATATTATATTGATATTCGTAATAAAATTATAGCAGTTTCAGAGTATGAAAGTTGCAAGTGAACAATCTCATGTTTTTTTAGAATTAAAAGTAAAAGGCGCTCAAGAGTTAATTTTTTTCAATCCATGAATGCTGTTTGGTTTTTCCATTAAGATAATCCCAACCAGTCTTGTCTTTAACTACTTCATGAGACTTATAATATGAAAACTGTATTTTAACTGTATTTTAAACATTTATCTTTAGTGCACAAAGTCAATTTTGTTTTCTATCATCATTATAATCTACAGCATGTTTATATCGCATCATAAATCATCGAACAAAAGTCAAAGGTCTTACCTTAATGGTCTTAGTGTTATTAGAGTTGTAGAACACATTCTTAGTCCTCACAGTCAAAGGTACAGATCCTAGTTTGACAATCTCCTGGTAACCTAGTTGAGCATTAACACCAGACCCTAATTGCAAGTCCTCAGCATTGTACAGAGCTAAACACAAACAGAATATCGTAACTTGGGTCAACAAAGACATTTTGAGATGATTGTAACACGACTTCTTCAAATAAAAAAATACTGGTAATATATTGGTGTATTTTTTTGATGGCATTTATATTCCATCTCGTGGTACACTTGAGATAAAATGATAATGATAAGATCATGAATCATATCGAGACGATACGATAAGAGATATCGATTGCTCACTGAAAGGTGTGATTGTGGGTTTGTTGATATCATGATTCATTTCTTTGTTCTGGTTCAGCAATCGAGCTGGGGAGGGCAATACTTAGGTCATTTTTTGTGCATACAGAGCTAGATGATCATTGGTCTGTTGACTAAGTCTTCTAAAGTTACTACGTCATAAGAACAGTTTACAAATCGTATAAGTTAGAAAGCCATTAATAAAACAAAGCCATGTGTTGGAAAATAACCTCAAAAAACTACTTTTCAACCTTAAAATATCACTTAGCAGTTGAACACGAGAAAGTGATTCGACGCGCCCAATTCGTTGGGCACTACGGCTTTATCAAAAGTTGGACACATTAGTACCAGATGTGGACAATGTGAAACGACTTCAACTTATTTTTTATCCCGCTCGCATTTGAGGGTTATGATGCCATCTATTACTGGTTGCCCTTTATTCGTCAGAGGAGATTCGAAGGTAGTTTTTCTCTTAATAAGTTAGTGTTAATTAATTATAATAGTGGTACAAGCGTTATCAACTCTTGTGAGCTTACATCATAAGATTGTAGAAAGCATGTGATTTCCTATGAGTCATACAAACTTTTAACCTTAAGATAGTTTCATTTGTACAAATGATGACTTTTTTAATACCTAACTAATGCAATTTTCTATTATTGACAAATTCTCCCATTATTTTTCCAAGGGTAACTATCTAATTTTATGAAGCCCTTAGAATGATTTAATTTTAAATCGTTAGAGGACTGTTATTATTTTATATTCATATTTGAATGTCGATGTATAACTAATTAACAGTTATGTACTCATAAGCACTAGTAGGTACAGTTCTTTCTTTTATAATCCAATATCTGAATGATGTTGAATTTATCATTTTCCTTATTGATAACCTATCCATAAGAGAGGATAAGGGATTTGGATGTAGATACTGTCCATCAATGCAAATTCTTTCTTAATAATATTTTTTTTTCAGATGTGCAATAAAAACAAAAAAAAATATTACGGACTATGCAAGTACCTAATCTATATATATATAATTCAAAGGTGATTGACTGACTGACTGACTGACATAGTGATCTATCAACGCACAGCCCAAACCGCTGGATAGATTGGGCTAAAATTTGGAATACATTTGGAATACAGATAGATGTTATGACGTAGGCATCCGCTAAGAAAGGATTTTGATAATTTCCACCCCCAAGGGGGTAAAAAAGGGGATGAAAGTTTGTATGAAACTTTGTCAGTTTTAAACCGATCGGGTTTAAATTTGGCATGCAGATAGATGTTATGACGTAGGCATCCGCTGTGAAAGGATTTTGATAATTTCCACCCCCAAGGGGGTAAAATAGGGGATGAAAGTTTGTATGAAACTTTGTCAGTTTTAAACCGATCGGGTTGAAATTTGGCATGCAGATAGATGTTATGACGTAGGCATCCGCTGTGAAAGGATTTTGATAATTTCCACCCCCAAGGGGGTAAAATATGGGGATGAAAGTTTGTATAGGACTTTGTCAGTTTTAAACCGATCGGGTTGAAATTTGGCATGCAGATAGATGTTATGACGTAGTAATTTGCTGTGAAAGGATTTTGATAATTTCCACCCCCAAGGGGGTAAAATAGGGGATGAAAGTTTGTATAGGACTTTGTCAGTTTTAAACCGATCGGGTTGAAATTTGGCATGCAGATAGATGTTATGACGTAGTAATCCGCTGTGAAAGGATTTTGATAATTTCCACCCCCAAGGGGGTAAAATAGGGGATGAAAGTTTGTATGAGACTTTGTCAATTTTAAATCGATCGGATTGAAATTTGACATGCAGATAGATGTTATCATATAAGCATCCGCTAAGAAAGGATTTTGATCATTTCCACCCCTAAGGGGGTTAAAATAGGGGGTGAAAGTTTATATGAAGCTTTGTCAGTTTTACACCGATGCAGATGAAATTCGGCATGCAGGTAGATGTTATGACGTAGGCATCCCCAAGTAAGGATTTTGATTATTTCCACCTCCAATGGGGTAATGTAGGGGATGAACGTTTGTATGAAGCTATGTCAGTTTTACACCGATCGGGTTGAAATTCGGCGTGCAGATGGATATTATGACGTAAACGTCCCTTTAGAAAGGTTTTTGAACATTCTCACCCCAAAGTATGATACTTTGCCAGTTTTAAATTGATAGGGCTGAGACCTTGCATGCATAAATTTACTATGACATAGGTATCTCCTTAGAAAGGATTTTGATAAATTCCACCCCTAAGGGGATAAAATAGGGAATGAGAGTTTGTATAAATCTTCTTAGCCATTGAATTTAGAATCATTGAATCTTTTTGAATTACATTCGGTAAAACGAAGTTTTGGGACCTGGGTAACGTTTGATAGTTTTTATCACAGATGTCCCACGGGAACGGGAACTATACGTCAATGCCCCGGGACTGTCTAACTCTTAACCACTGAACTTATTTTTCGATAGAATAGTTTTTATTACTCAAACCTTACGTGATCGGGCACTGTACTGGTAAGATCCCTGCGGGATTATTTATTTATTGAAACTACGATAAATCATTTCAAAATAGGTAAATCTTACTTGGGCACTGAATTGATTCTGTCAGAAGTCATTAATCTACGCGGACGAAGTCGCGGGCAACAGCTAGTACTATTATATGAATGTTTTAATGTTACTCTTAACTCGTCGAGTACCGGTTTTATAGACACAATTAAAGAACAATAGGTCGCGGTCACCGGTGACCGCTTGGTGTTTGACAGTTTAATTTTAATAATCATACATAGCTGTAAGTTATATAGGTTTTATATATGATTTCTGTCGATAGAACAAACTAGTTCCACTAACGTAACTCGAAATCGTTCCAACTTGTGCGATTGACTTTGTCAAAACAACAAAAAATGTAACACGGTGTTACTATAGGATGCTAGCTTTTCTTGCAACTTTGTTTGCGTGGAAAGTGTAGGTAAAAGAGTTACCTACGCTTTCTACGAAGACAAATCTTATGTCTTAATGATTCTAGCTCAGTGCCACATTTTTGAACGGTTCAGGGATTTAGATGTCAAAGCATACTATTGACAAAATAAGTTAATTTAATAGGAAATAATTGCCATTTAGTAATTTTGGATGAGGTGTTAGGATTTGATTATTCAGTTTCTAGGAGTTTGGGCTATGTTTCAGATAAAAAATTGGGTTATGCTACTCATCACTGTCTTAAAAAATATATACAAACAAACAAAATACTCATAATTCTATAATACTGGTATGGACGGTATATCCATGTCGTGATGTAAGGCGTTAGGCATCGCACAAAGTTCATGGTAATCTATTTTGGTACCCACAGGTCGGATCAATCAATTTGTAGGTGGAACAACATTTGATATTCCATAACCTTTACCTTATACATTTAATTAACGGTCCAAATTTGGTAAAATATTTTCATAATATGGCTAAACTGTAATAAGGTCTGAAGTATGACCATATTTTTGCTACTAATCAGGTTGTTGAATGAAATACCTGCTGCGGTTTTCTCTACAGGTGGCAACATGGGATTCTTTAAAAGTCGCCTATATTTTTTCATTATTGACAACGCACTTATGATTGTTATCATTTTGTAAGTGTATTTTTTTATAGCATAAGTCGGTAAACGAGCAGACGGATCACCTGATGGTAAGCAATCGGCGCCGCCCATGGTTTTTTTTGAGGAGAGAAAATCATCCAATGACTTCTCCTTCCAGAGTGTTAGACTCTGTTTTTTTTTATTATTTTTTTATTTTTTTTTTTAAAGTAAAACGTTGCCCCACACTAGGATTTTCTCCTGTGTCGTGGGTGCGTTTACAGACATACAAGGTCACATCACAATGACACCCAGACCCGGAACAACAATTTGTGGATCACACAAAGTGTTGTTCCGTGCGGGAATCGAACCCGCGACACGTTGCACGGCAGCCGGTTGCCCAGCCACCGCACCAACCGTGCAGTCAATATTGACTTTAAACCATCCCTTTTGAGCTGGAGCCGGTAACTCCACGACTATGATCATAATGTCCTCATTAAGTTTTCGCAAAGCTACTAACAGACCTACATTTAAAATGATAATAATTATTCTTATCAATTATTAAACATGAAAATAAAATTCACATTTCAATACAACTGACCATACATATTCAAATAGTACCGTAGTCGCGTACAGTGGGCAACGCAATGTGGTCATTACTTTTATTTTACGACGTGATAACACCGCACACTTGTTTGTAACGTTTGTAACACAACTTTTGGGAGCGGTGTACACTTTAAGCCGCGTGGAATAATGTCCCCTGTTTTATTTGGATGAGAGCCTATTTTACTGAAAATGTTTGTTATGAATATTAATATTATTTACGTTATGATTGTTAATAAATTAATTAAGTAAGTATAATTTATTGATATATGAGGGTTGGTATAGTTGGGTATTTTTTGAATAAATATGTTAATTATTACTTGATATTATTTTATTAATTGCTCAACTAACTTGTTAATCGAGTGATCGTAAGTGCCACTGCCAGGGTCTCGGGTGCGATTTCCAGGTCGGAAAAGCATGACTTGGTTTTATTTAAAAAATCTGAGTAATAGCATGGAGTCTGGAATGTTATTACTTGATTATCAAATCAAATCAATTTATTTGTGAACATTGCTCATACAGAAGGATGTTATAATATACATTAATAGCATCTCCATATTCTACCAATAAAATTGGCGTACAAATAGTTTTTAACTTATTTCTGGTCTAAAGGCTACGTTATATTGAAGAATTCTAATGGTTTTAATGAAAATACTTGTCACTACTGACATAGAATTAAGGACCTGGAAACCAAAAACATGGTATCAAGGACAAAGTCTTTTAACTTCACAAACAAAAAATAAATAGATAGA